ACAGTACACAGGTGGAAGTTTTAAATGTATACTGTTAAATATTTCATTGTGTGTTAGAAAATACAAAACTAGGCCCTGAATCCTGTGGGATTTTAATTTTACCGGTATTATTGCTCAGACAAGTTTAAGTTAAAAAAAAAATAGAAGAATGATTTTTTTTTTTACACCATTCAGCAGTAAGTAATACCACTGGAGCACGAATATGGCAGAAATGGTGATGGTGACGCCCTGGCCTCTGGGAGATCCTGATGAACAGGAAACAGGGCCTCACAGAGCCGAGGCTCATCAGGGTGAAGGTGCAGTGTCCTGTAGACCTTTACCCCCCATCTGCCCCTGCCCTACCTGGAGCCTTTCATGTGGTTACCACCCCAGCCCTGCCTCACCAGGCTCGCTCTGCAGAACCACTGGCATTCTTCTTGCACATTTTCACCATTCTCTGATTCTGTTCTTGCCATTTCTCTGTGTAGAATGTGTCCCCACCCTCTCTCAGGTCTTGTTGCTGGGCAGACACCCCCGCTTAAACTTCTGGGTGGTACGAAATGGCACATCAGCTCTTAGATCTCATGAGTCTGAGAAATGGTAGAGTTTAAAGGTACATGAGACTCTGGAACCTGCATACAGAGCTGAGGTTATGGACATTCATTAAAAGGCACCACATACCATTATGAGGGGGCTTCCCTGGTGGCTTAGCTGGTAAAGAATCCACCTGTAATGCAGGAGACCTGGGTTTGATCCCTGGGTTGGGAAGATCCCCTAGAGAAGGGAAAGGCTACCCACTCCAGTATTCTGGCCTGGAGAATTCCATGGACTGTAGAGTCCATAGAGTCGCAAAGAGTGGCACACGTCTGAGCACCTTTCACTTGCACCATTATGAGGATAACAGCATCTGTGTGTCATTCCAAGAAAAGGGCTCGGAGGTACTGGACTGTGAGGCAGGGCACACCTGTGTTTTGAAGGAGCCCAGCGAGTCCACTGCAGGTAAAGGAAAGGCTTTTTTAAAACCCCTTGTAGCAAGTACTTCCACTGGGAACTCATGCTCCTACCAAAGATTCTGACGACTTGGAGTGTCTTGAAAAATGGAGAAGTTTATGAAAGGCAGTCTAGCTTTAGGAAATAATGCTAGTAGGGATTTTAGATTAAAGAAGTAATAAGATCTGCCTAGGCAGAGTGAAGAGAGATGGTTTAGTAGTGAAAAATAAGGGTATCAGACAAGTAAATGGCAGGGTGGAAAATAAAAATGTGTCATTTGGATGGCAGGAAGCCATTGCCTGTTTTTCAAAAAGCCAGATATGAACTTATCCTACCATCCGTGTCATTTAACTTGAACATTAAAGGAGTGATCCTGGGATGGAGTGACGCTGGGAGGAAGAAGTGGTCCCGCTTGAAGATGAGGGTCCAATTTATGAGTTTACCTCAGGGACTGAAGTTCAAGTGTAGATTAAATATAAAATGGAGAGCCAGACAGTTCTCTCAGAGTGGATGGAAGTAACAAAGAAGAGCTGCAGACCAGCGTTTCCGTGGAAGGCCGGCACCACGTTCTGATTGAGAATTCAGAATTGGAGACAGACTGCTGTGAGGGTGGAGTGGAATCCAGCCCCATCTTCGCTGCCTTTAGTGTGGGGACAGGGATGAAGTGTCCCGATGGTGGAGCAGGGCTGCAGTCAGTCAGAGTCAGGAAAGCGTGTCCCCCATGGATGAAACCCTGAAACTGGGGGCCATGTGGGAGGCCTGCCTAGCACGTCCCCTCATCCCATGTCCACCCCGAGCCCCAGTGTCATTACTCTAGATCAGTCCAGCCGAATCCAAGTGCCAGCGGGAGGAAGTGGTCCTTATTGGTGTGACAGGCCAAGACCTCTGGTTCTCAGAAATCCACAGAGATGCCTATTGCAGTGAGAGGCTTCAGGGGCATGGGGAGGAGGGGTGTGGTCGTCCTATCACCACCACCTGCGCTGGGCCCCGGCAGCAGGAAGACACACCCCCACACCCCCGTCCAGCATCATGGCTGCTTCCTTAGCAGGGTTCTGGGAACCCATCTCTGACAAGATGCCCGGCTGATGCCTGGCAGCTGGCCTAACGGCTGAGTAGGAGCAAATCATGAGGACGTCCCTGGGCGTGGTCAGCCCTGCTGGTGGCACCCCATCCCCACCCCCTCGAGGCCACACTCCTGGCTCAAGAGTCTCCCGAGTCTCCTCTAATCTCAGCTCTCTCTGCGCTTCAAAAGCAGTTCTCATTGTGTGCTCCGGGGAGCACTTGGCTTGAGACTCCCTGGAACTGTGAACATCGTGGAAGGCCAAGTGACTTACAGCAACATGGTAGATGTTTTGTCAGAATTCTGGGGTAGCCAGTGGGGAGGTGAGGAAGATGCCCCTGTTACAGAGGAAAACGTGAACCACAAGGTCCATAATTCCTGGCATTGAACAGGTAAATTTAAAAATAGACAAACCAGGCAGACATTGTACAGTCCTTGTGGCAGACACCCTGAGGACAAAACGGGATGGTGTGTTGAAGGGTGAAGTTGAAGTTGAGATGCGAAGCCACCTGGCTTGGGTGGACCACACACATTTCTGTGACTTTTGGCAGCTGAGCTAAGACCTAAAGCCTGAGGAGCGTTTGGCCAGCAGGGAAAGCATTCACAGAAAAGGAACCGTCAGCGTGAAGTCAGAAGCAGGATAATTGGAAGGATTCGAGTCTGGGGGAAGGAGACCGGCTCGATGTCTGCAGTGGCCTAGGCGGGTTGTGCTGGTCTCGTGGTCAGGGCCAAGATGATAGGTGAATCAAGACAAGCAGAATCAGAAAAGTGGGGGTGACAGCTGGTGCGAATGAAATGAGTTCATTGTCAAGGGGGAGGGTTGACTGGGGACCATGCTGGGAGCTTAGGCCTATAACCTCTTCTCTGAGAAGGGAGAAACGGGCTGCTGCTTGGGGGCAAGGGGTGGCAGGCAGTGGCTGGGGGCTGGAAAACAGTCACTCACAATGTGGGGTTGTTGCTGGGTGCAGTGAGAGGCCTGGGGTGGGCCCAGCTGACACAGGATCACCCCCACACCGGTCGTCATGGCTTGGGGACTTTGCTCCAGGGAGACAGCCACTCCGCCTGTGTGCAGAATAAGCCGGGGGAGAGGCTGTCCTGCTTGGTTGAGACAGGACAGATGAGACCCCTAAAGAGTTGGCGGCTTGGCCAGTGACACAGGCAGCACAAGGACAAGACACCAACAGATGTGGAGGCACGACGAGACCGCAGTGCCGCTGGGAGGGAGTTGCGTTGGCAGCATCCACGGGAGAGAAGAGGATGGATGGTCTAAGGTTGCAGACCGGAAGTTGGGTTTAATCCCTCAAGATCCTTACATTACATAGCAGCTGCCTTTTTGTCTGTCATCCCTTGTCTGAGTCGTGAATCTATACTCTTGAGTAAACGGGAGATGGTTGGCAGGTAGTTTGGACTTCCGTGAGTTCTGATCCAGTAGCGGAACATCTTTTACCGCTGCGTGTGACTTTCCGGCTTTTGTCTGCTTGCAGCGTGTCTCTGCTCTGTCCTGTGAGCTGCCAGCCCGGGCGTGTAGGGTGGCTCTGGCTCTGTCACAGGCCCAGTGCCTGTGTGCCTCTGACAGCACAGCCGTGATGGATGGAGTACTGAGCTGCAAGCTCTTAGGACTGATACAGCAAAGTCTGAACTGAGACATTTCCTGGCGCTGCCTTTAAATAATAATCATAACAATAGTAATACCTTGTTTACAGACAGTACTTGATAATTTACAGAGCACTTTCACTATATCATATCATTTCATCCTCACAATAACTAAGGCTTTTTGAAGGCTTAGATCTTCCCTAAAGTGAGAAGTCCTGGTGCACATCCTGATTTAACTGTGGCAAGTGTAAAAAGTTTTTAAAACTAAGGATTCTGATGCTTACCTAAGCTCAGTAATGCTTCAGAATCATTCTATCGATTTCAGCTTGCACTTTGTTGGAAATTATGTAACTGCTACTTGAATCTTTTCAAAGATATTTCAGATTCAGAATATGTGAAAATGTCTAGCCATTGAGTTCATTGTCCTGATTAGGATGATGAGGGTGTGATTCCAAGAGCACAGCTTGACCCTAGGCCCCAGAAGCTTTATTCAGTGGGAAAGTAGACATAATCATCTCTGGGTTCTTCAGCCAGACTGGGATGCCCGGAGGAGGCTGAGAGACAAAGGACTTCCCAGCAGGGAGCTTTCCTGTGGGTTGGGAGAGTAGAAGGTAGCATTGGAGCTAGTGCTGGCCTATGACAGGCCTCCAGAATCTTTAGCCAGGACCCTCCAGAGGGTCTAGACATGTGTTCCACAGCGCCTCACAGGTTCTCCCAAAAGCACAAGCCCCTGACCCCTGCCTTCAGAGGCCCCTGCCTGGAGCAGCCCCTCGCAGAGGGCAGGAAGACCTGCACAGGAGCATTCTTTCTCCACCCAGCACTGGGGTGGCCCTGAGGCCCTACGTGGCCCAGCAGGACAACCGGTGGGGGGCCGATGTGTTACTGAAACACAGAGGTGGTGATTGGGAGTCTTCCTGCTGCTTGTTGGCATTTTAGTTTTATTAACTCTAGTCTAACACCAGCTCTTCACATGATCCTTTGGATTAGGAATGGGCTGAGGATAAAGCCAAATGACCTACTGCTCATTACTAGTGCACTCTTTTCCTGGATACACAGGTTTTCACAAAAGTTTTCCCATGGTGCCATCTTTCTAAAGAACAGCTTGAATATATTACAAGGGAGGCTGATGTCTGGATTATCAAATTATCTCATGGTTCTTTTGATGTGAAGTTTGGGTAGCCACAAGCCAAAGAACCCTTTCGTCTTAGAGCATGCTGCCAGCATCTGAGTGTCTCATCAGTACTCCAAAGAGGAGCACTGTCAGAATGTAGTGCGGAGCAGGAGTATGAGAACTGTGGCGTCTAAGCAGTGTTTCCAACTGGGGCTGGTGACGTGCTTTAAGTAACTGTGTTCTGATCGTTTAGGTCTCTTTTTGTAGGGCATCTTTTATGACCAAGACTGTCCAGTACCAAAATGAACTACATAAATTCCTCATCTGGGACACAGCTGGACAAGAACGAGTAAGTCACTCTTTATATTACTATGTGTCTTTCTGAGGCCCAGATGAAAGCACCAGTGCAACTGCTGGGTCCCATCACTTCACGTCACTCGCTTCCCTTCTCTGTGCCAGACACACATCTTCCCATTTGCACGGCCAGCCCTTTCCTTCTCAGTTGGAACCACGAAGTCCACTGATGGAGAACGTGCTCATGGGCACTGAGGGCATTCTTACACATTTTAGTGTCTTCAAGTAAATGCTGACTAACAGGCCTGATGAAACCCCACTCAGAGCATGGTGTGTGATTTGGGGGCTCCATCCTCGAGCAGAGATAATAAAAGAATTAGTGGTAGGAAGGGAGAGTGAAGCACAGCTCATTATAGCCGCCTTTTAAGAGCTAAAGAGGGGACTTTAACAGCATGTAAATTTTGAGACTTTAAGTGAAATGGATGAGCTAACACAGTGCCATGCAATAGTGCTTAATAAACACCTAATGATAAAGTTGTCCAGGATGGCTGTCTGCCTCGGGTGGGCATGGGCCAGAAGTGGGGCCAGGGCCATGGTACCACAGTGCAGAAGAGGATTTGGCAAAGCCCACCCAAATGGGACGGGATCAGAAGGTGGGGGTGGGTCCGGCTGCTACTGCCACCCCATCCTTCCCTGTGTTGAGTTCCCCGTTGAGGTGTGTCTGCAGCTGCCCCATTATTCAGCTCCTGTTTAATTTTGTTTTCAAAGAGTGTTATCAAAACAGAGCATGTGATGGATGCACTGTGCTATCTTAAAGCCCTTAAAAGTATAGCGGAAGTAATCAGGAGAAATACTCTGTCCTCACAGTCTTATCTGAGACAGCATAGATGTTTCGAATGCTGTAAAGCCTGACAAGCATCATCACAGACAAATGGAGGAAAACATGACAAGCCGTTCTGTTGTCCTGGATGTAGACATCGCACATTTGTACAGATTTCACATCTCAAGTTCACTCTGTTTGATTTCTTCTGCTTTGTGTTTTTTTTTTAAACCATTGGATATCACACCCTGTCCAGTTCTTCATCCGAGATGTATCTGCTTGGTCTCTGGTCCCCTCTGCTCCTGTGTTGTCTGGGCCATGTGTGCTGAGGTGGGTGGGTCTTGGCCAAGCATCACTCACCCATCTTTCAGAAGGGCCGCCTCCCACGGAGCCTCCCTGAGTATGTCCACAGACATAACCCTGGCATCCAGCCTGTTAGCCACAAACTCATGGCTCTTCATACCAGTAATATATGTACCCTTTCAGTGAATTCCACATCTCAGTTACCCCTCCCATATATTTGATGAGACAGCAAAGCTCTCATCATATAGCATCCTACTATAATATAGATTCCATTATGCCTTGAATCAGAGCCTGTCCTCATAGACGCAGTGATGTATAACGTCTCTTTTTTTTTCAGAACGTAAAAAAAGAATAACACCAGGGTTTATGCCTCTCTCTTGCTGTTGCCATGATAGCAGGATTCTGTTGAGTTTTGTAATTAGCTGGTCTGCCTGCCTCTTGTTTCCCAACCTCTAATTGATTCTGCACCAGGAGTTATAGCTCTGAGATGCAAATGTCCCTCACCCCTACCTGGAGCTCGATCACTGAGCTAGCCAAGGGCTCACACTGGGAATACAGATGAGGCGGCCGGGCCCAGGAGGCCTGCCCAGCAGAGCCTCGCGCCGTGGAGACTGTCAGGAGAGGGACGCTGGCTCTGCACCCCCGCGCCAGCTGGTCATTGCCAGATCATAGGGTTTAAGAAGAACTCAGCCTCAACAGCGAATCATAGACTGTTTGAAATGCTGTGAAAATCCTCCAGGGCACCTCTGTGAGCCTTTCCTGCCTGTTTGTCCCAGACACAGCCTTTTGGGCCTGGATGGTGCCAGCCTCCGCCAGACTCTCCATCATCACCTCCTCCCACCAGTTCATCCTCCAAGACCAAACAAACCTTTCAGATCTGCCATCACCAGGCCAGTGCCTACCTTCACACCCACGTCCCGTCCTTCCCTCTGCTTGGAATGCCCTCCCTCCCAGCGTTAGCCTGGAGAACCCATGTTCAGCCTTCAAAACTGTCATCCCATGTTGCCTTGAGGGGGCTTTCCCCACCACCCCTGCCTTCCTCAGTTTGCCACAGGCCCGCCTCATTCAGGTGTGAGCCTGGAGGTGCTCCCTCCCCGTTAGCTGTCCTGACAGCTCCAGCTTCTGAGTCTACTCACTCCTCCCTGTGTCCACTGTCAGCGGTCTGCCACCCCTCACTCTCACCCAAGAGTTCCTGTCTCCTGGTCACGGGTCTCCCTGCCTTCCCTCCTCCCAGCCCCATCACCCTGTGTCCATTCTCCTCACAGGACCCAGGGGGCCCTTGTGAACACCTCAGTCAGACCCTGTTACCCTCCTCAGGAACTGCCAGCTGCCCCTCTCCTGGGAGCCGCACTCTGTCCAGGGGTGTGCAGGGCCCTCGCAGCCTGTGCCACCTGCTCTCCAGGGCCTCCGGTCCAGCCTCTCCTCACCTGCTGAGTTCCAGCCCAGGGCCTCCACTCACTTCCTCAGACACACCAGAGTCGGCCTTCACACGCAGTATTCCTCGCACCGGAAGACTCCCTTCACACGCAGCGTGCCCATCGGGCTCCTTACCGGCCTTTCTGTCCCGGTTCAGCGTCACAGCTCACGGTCTTCCCTCACCCCTCTGCACCTCAGCCCCACCCAGCTTGTTGTGCACCGCCGTGCTCTGTTCATTTCCTTCAGGACCCTTATTCCAAGTTGTAAGTAGATACCTGTCCACACCCCTCTCCTGACAGGCTCTCCCCACAGACGAGAAACTGAGAACCGGGCCCACGGGGTTGTGTTCCCAGGGCCCAGCACAGGGCCTGACCTGGTGCTCAGGTATCAGGTAGACCAGTTAGCATGTAGACTCTTCAGTGTATTTCTTTATATCCCGAACCATCCTTGTGATTGCCTACAACCCCCAGGTTGTACCCCATCTCCTTGCCTGTTTATCTTCTGTTAGTGAGCTCCTTGGGGGCAGGGGCTGTCCTCACATCTGTGTGCTCAGCCCCTGGTGCTCAGCACTGATACCCGCGGATTTATGTCATTTAATTGTGAGCCCTAGTCTGGCACAGGGAAACAGGCCCAGATCCTACCCCTACTTTTGTCATGTGAGTAGCGCATGCCTCAAATTAGGCATTTCTGATATCTATGTATTTGTTATTCAGTTCTCTGTAATGAGATTTATCATGGAATCAGAAGTCATCCTAAAATGCAACCATTCATGATGAACTGACCATTCGGACATCCTTCCCATTTGACCCTCACGTCTTCACAGATGGATTATCCTTGATGGTCCAGTCACAACTGATTGCAAAGTAATTTCATTAAGTCAGTGAAAGTGATTTGGAGAATTCTGTAGATGTTATACAAAGCCATTGATGGTAGGGAGCTTGTTAAATTAAGTGAAGAGAAAGCTACTGATCAAAGTGATGACATAAGTGCCTCAGAAGATAATGATTTGTGTATCAAAAGGCCTAGGGAAAACCGATGGGAGTCTTCAAATATTTTGTAAAAGTTCCCTTCCTGTGACAGGACTAGGAGAGGCAAACACGAAATGAAAAATAGATACCATATTGTGCCAGCATATGGTTCAGGGGAGCTTGGTGTGCTGCAGTTCATGAGGTTGCAAAGAGTCGGATGTGACTTAGTGACTGAACAAGAACAACATGGTTCTATCAGAAGATTCATGGTCCAGTTATCAATCAACTTGAACTCAGTGTTCAGTCAAGAAACTGGTTGCAATAATAAACCAAAGTTTTTTCTAATACCAGATAAGATGAAACTTGTTTTCATAATTTTTTTCTCAAGACGGAGCCTTTTCAGACCTTTTCATCCCTAAATGAATTCATTTTAAATGATCTTTTCCCACCAATCTTCCTTCACCAACAAGGACTCCTCCAGAAGCATAGCGACAGACCCAGCTGCTGCGCAAACATGCATCTCACATCCATGTCAGAAGTGCTCCATAACTGTAGCAGCAGCATTTCAAATACTTGCCATCTGCGTGTGATCATATAAAAAAAAGCTTCGTAACCGAAATCTAATACACTGCAGCCAGTCTTGAAGATTTATGTCCCTGAATCTTAATGTGGTTTCTCCTGATGACCATTTCTAGAAGTCAGAGTGCCAGGACGACTTGGACTCATTCGTTGTCACAGGAGTCACATAAGGGGGGTACTCAGGTTTGAAATCAGGATAATGTGTACACGTCGCTTGACATCTATGACCGGGGTCCACACTGTGGCTCTCGGGCCAGATCCAGCTTACTTCCTGTTTTTTCAGAGCACAGCCGTGCTTATTTGTTAACTTGCTATCTGTGGCTGCTCTCTTGCTTCCATAATAGAGTTGAGAAGTTGTGGCAGAGATCACATGATCCACAAAGCCTAACGTGTTTTTCACTGGCCTCTTTCAGATAAAGCTTGCCAGCCCCTGATCTAGGGCCTGATTGGGAGCAAAACTATGCTCGCATTCTTTGAGTCTCTTTGTAAGCTGCTGCCTTCTTTTTTTATACCACAAGTACAGTACATAGAAAGAGTTTCAGTGTCAGTCATGAAGGAGTAGCTTGTAACAGGCTAACCCTCACACAGGTAACAGTTACGTATAAACACTGAGCAAAGCATTAAAAAACAACTCTCTGAAGGTCCTGTGGAGCAGGGACTGAAAAGGGAATGACATCTAATGAGACTGAGGTTTTCATGGCTTTTCCCCCAGAGGGCACACCCATGACCATGCAGCATAGGGTAGCTAGAACTCAAGCGGGGGGCTGTCTTTGTAGCTTGCAGTATTTAAGGGCAGAGATTAAGGTTGCTAGAGCAGCTGGGAAAAGAGGAGGCAAATCCCAGAAAAGATGAATCTGACAAGTCAGGAAGCCTTGAAAATCAGCTTATAAATTCCTTTCCTGGCTTTGCTTAACCCTCAAATTGTGAAAGCACAGGAGCGACACTAAGGGATTCAACAGAAACCAACAGCTGAAAAGGTGACAGGACTGAGCAGAGATCCTGCTGCTGCTCATGAGAATAAGCAAAGTTTAGCGTCCAGTCCTGTCTGTTATATAAGGCTTAACCCTGAAACTGCCAAAGGGCCATGTCTTATGAGTAGAGACCCACATACACCCACCCTAACCACGTGTAAAACCATCTCAGGGTGATAAGCCAGTGTTTTAACACTGCAGAGAAGATAACGGAAACCAGATATTTTAAATATGTAACTACAGATGGGGAGTCTCACACAGAATGGCAACTGATAAATGAAAATGCTAAAACTGAAAACTGTACTATCTAAAATGAAAAATCTACCAGATAAATGACAAATTAACCAATCAGAAGAACAGAGTAGAAAAATAGGAACCATGTACCCTAGGGACAAATTCAAACGATCAAACGTGTGACTGGAGACCCAGAAGTTGTTAAAAAGAAAAAGAAGTGGGGGGACAGAAAGAAAAGATGTTTCAAGAAACAGTGGCTGAAATTTTTCCATATTTTGGTGGAAATAACTCACCAATCCAAAAGTATAGCAGACCCATAGATATCAAGAAATCTCCGACTTAGTCTATCATAGTCAAATTGCTAAAAACCAAAGTTAAAGGGGAAAATCTTGAAAGCAGCCAGAGATAATACCATAGGTACATGCAAGACTCAACACTCTGAGAGAGGAGTAGCCTTCCACAGCCAGGGAGGCCAGAAGACCATGGAGCCCTTTTAAAGAGTCAGAATTACCCACTGAGCAAAATTGTCTTTCAGACATGAAGTCCAAGTCATGACATGTTTAGAAGAAGAAAAACAGAGAGGGTTTAGCAGCAGTGGTCTCAGAAAGGTTCTTAGGCTAGAGGGGATGATGCCAGATAGTAATTGAGATCCAAGGAGGCAACAAGAACCACTTGGAACGGTTAATATAAAAATCTGGGGATTTTTGTTTTTATTAAAAAGAAATGATTGGCTGTTTAATGCAAAAATTACAATATTGAATTATGTGGGTTATCATATAGATTTAAAATATTTGACAGCAGCACAAAGGACAGTGGGATAAGAAATCTTGCACGGTTCTGATCTTTCACATAAGGTGGTACATTAAGTCAGCTATGAGAGACATATATTGTAGTTACAAGACCAACCACTTAAAGAGTAATACAGGGAGGTATAACTAAAAAACCAATGGACTAATTAATACATTAAAAGTAAACAGTAAAAAATAGTTAATGCAAAAGAAAGGAGAAAGGAAGAACATAGTTTTATTTTGTTTTAATGGAACAAAATATAAAGCAAATAGCAAAATGGTAGTCCTAATATCAGTAAAAACCAAATATATCAGGAAGTACATTAAGTGTAAAGGAACTAAATATTCCACTTAAAAGGCACAGTTTGTCAGATTGGATCAAAAGTCAAAATCAAACCATATGCTGGTTATAGAAGGGATTACCTTACATAGAAACCTCGAGATCACTTGAAAATAAGAGAATGGAAGTGGATATTCTGTGCAAACCATAAGCAAGAGAAAACTGTAGTTTTTATATCTATATCAGTAAACAGACTTGAAGAGAAGGGTTACCATCAAGAATAAAGAAGGGGCGTGAAAAGAGTAGCATTGGGGAACTTTTCATGTTGATAAAGGCATTTTCTATCTTGGGATGGGATAGGATGAATGTATACATACACATTTGTCATTTTATCAAAATTAAGACCTTTTATCAGCCTTAAGATTTTTGCAGTTCTCTAAATGAATCTTACTCTATAAATTTAAATACCACACACACAAAAAATCCAGCAACCTTGTAAAGGAAGTTGCTGGAATAATGCATCAAAAGTGAAAGCTAGTGCCATAGCCTTTGCTCCATCTTGTGCTCCTCTGACTGTCATCCCAGGGAGGGCAGTTCAGAGTCTTTCCCACCTAATCATCTGGTTTCCTTAAAGTTGCTTACAAGCTTTATTGTTTTTTTTTTCTCTCTAAAACTTAACATTTTATTGTAAATTTTCCAACTTTGACCCCAGAGGCAGGGATCTTTCTCCCTGAGACTAGTAACACTAAACTTGGATGGATATTTGAGGCTGGCATTTATTTTGATACCACCCTGCACCTAAACAGTTCTTAGGTGCTCACTTCTGATAGCAGTGTCCACCTGTGTTTTGGAGGGAAGCCACAGAACAAAGAGCAGGAGGGGAGTCCCGTAGTACCTCTCACATCATGTGTAGGGGTCAGGTTTCAAAGTCAGGGGACACGACAAAGATCAAGCACAAGTCAGAGTCTTGTCTTGTATGCTGACCTCAAATTCACTGAGCAGGAGGCTTGACCAGCACACACACATGCCCAGAAACCAGGGTTGACTGGGGTAGGCACATCCCGTTTTCTATCTCACACCCTATCAAAACAAGTGGCCCACTACATCAGCCTCACTATTTAGATTGTCCTTCCTTCTCTTCCCTGTTGTGTTGGGGGGAGGGGGAGAGCTGGGGGGTGATTGGTGGGAAGAAGCCCTGTACACAGAGTTAAATGCATGTAAATGGAATGAGATATGTACCTGCTTTGGGGAATTGCCACACTTATGTGGACAATATCAAAAAAGCGAGTTACAAGCTCATCCAGGTCGTGAATGTAAATGTATACTCATTTCTGTAGTACAATCAGCATTTTTTTTTTTTTTTTGTACAATCAGCATTTAGATTGCAGGTTATCTTTACGACACCCAAATGCAGGCACTTCTCTGGAGAACATTTACAGCATTATTTTTATCTCCTTGTTAGTTTGGGGAGCCAAAGTTTAAAGACTACTGAACAAGTGAATTTGGAAATTATAACATTGAGTTCAATTAGCCTTTTCAGCTGAAACAATTATTTATAGCATGTATTTAATTCCTATAAAAGTGTATTCTAAACTACCTTCTGAGTGGCATTTCAGTGTTAGATTTGAAGTTTTTGCCTTTGGTAATTACTGGTTCATTTGCTTTAAAGCATCATGTCATCTTTTTTGGCTTAAGAGAAAGATTACCTTTTGTGCGGGGATAATGGGCTTCAAAGTCTAGTAAGAAGCATATTTAACCAGTTTTCCCAATTTTGTTGTTTATTTTTCTCTCTTTGCAGTTTCGTGCCTTAGCGCCAATGTACTACCGAGGCTCGGCTGCAGCTATAATTGTTTACGACATCACGAAAGAAGTAAGGCCTGACATACCATCTTCTTGAGACTATTCTGAAAACTCTGTTTAGGTCGCTTCAGTCTCCAGTTGCTTTCCTCCTTTGTGTTACAGGAGACATTTTCAACATTAAAGAATTGGGTAAAAGAGCTTCGGCAGCATGGCCCACCCAATATTGTAGTTGCCATTGCAGGAAATAAGTGTGATCTTATCGATGTAAGGTAAGTTATTAGTGCAGGAGATACGAGTGCTGATTGTGTGTTCTTCTTCCAACAGAGCACTATCCAGTAGAAGAATCTAGCTTCTGTTTTATCTCTGACATTGAAAAATTCGTTTTTGTTGATCGGTTGGGGTCCTGAATGTTCAAACTAAAATTAAGAGTTCAGACACTCAAAGCTCATTAGATTATATATCGAGACAGGTGTGTAATTTACTTAAACATCAGTTGCAGCACACTTGAACATGATCTGAGATTGATGTAGCCTCAGCTCCCATGACACAGGGTACTCAAATGGGGAAAGGATATTTTAAGGAAAGCACGTTGATTGGCAGTTTCTCTGGACCACTTCTGTGATCCTCCAAGCAAGGGCTTGTAGTGTGGGTAGTGGGGGGAGAAACCATGGTGATTCTCTGACCATTCCATTGGATATATTGCTAGTGGTCCAGGTTCCGTTCTGATCATCATGAATCTGGTTAAATACTGGGTAGATGGGGATCACATTAAGCTCCTGATGGGTAGAGTTTGTGATCTACAGTTTATTGTTTTCCAGAGAGGTCATGGAGAGAGATGCCAAGGACTACGCTGACTCCATCCATGCAGTCTTTGTAGAGACAAGTGCGAAGAACGCGATAAACATAAATGAACTCTTTATAGAAATTAGTGAGTATCCCTACCTCATTCATGTCTTCTGTGCAGAGCAACTTAATGCAGGAATCTGGCCAGGGAGGATTTCCTCCTTACACAGAGCGGTCTAGACTCTGGTATTGTTCTCAGTGGAATGAGGTTTGAGACTTGAAGAGTGATGGCAGGTTTTCATATCGGGCTGTAATTGCTGGAGAGCTGCTGCCTGATGACTGGCCCTTCCTTCTAGGAGGAGTGTTGCTCCTGAATCAGTAATGTGCAAGGCCTTGGGGTCCTGGAAGCTGTCATTGTCCTCTCTCTCTTTAAATGTGTTTCAGTTAGTCATCCAGAGTCATCAAGCATGAATAAGATAAATAAAGGGACATGGAATGTGCGCGTAATTCCCTCATAAGAAAGTCCTCAGAAATTCATATGAGGCTCTTGCCAGTGAGAGGTTAAGATACTCTCTCCTCACCTCCTCTTTCCCTTTTCAGAAGTGTTACAGTGACGACACTCAATGGGAGAGTCTGCCACATCCCTCTGGGACCATCCATGGATCGTATCTGTTTATTAATTTCATTCCAATTCATCAGAGTATTCACTAAGACCTGTTCCACACTCGGGGAGACAGCAGCAAGCATGACGGGCCGGCCTCTGCGGTCCTCTGGGGGAGAGACAGCACACAGGGAAGCAAGACTCTTGCTGATGATGAGCAGGAATACAAAGAACCTAAGATAGATTGAAATGAAAGAGTTTCTGCAGGTGGTTAGGGACGGCTTCTCTGAGGACGCGCTATTGGAGCCAGACCCTGACAGAGCAGGTGTGCAGAGCCCTGAGGTTCGTGCTAACTGAACGAGCCAGGCTTGCACATGAAGGACAGGAGAAAGCCACACTAGATCCATCCTTTGGAGAGATCTGAAAGTGGGAGGGCGCTTGGCCAGCATGTAGAGGAAGGGCCAACAGGGCCAGGCGGGGGCGGTCCCCAGGGAAGCAGACCTAGGGGCCCCCCAGGACCTGGGGGCTGCGGGAAGCCCTGGTGACCCTGACAGCTGGCCAGGGCAGGCTCGGCTCCAGCAGGTGGACGACAGTGGTAGGTAGGCCCCTGGCTACCCCATTACTGGGGTTACTTTTGGTTTTATTTTTATTTTTTGATGTTTTTAGTTTGTTCAGAGATCTGCATTTTATGTAACATGTCACACTTTTTAAATCTGGCCACTTACTGAAATATTTTCAGAGTACGATGCAGGCCTGCCAGGCCCATCTGCTGCCTGGAACAGCTGGTGGACACTGGTGTGTGAGCTCTAGTCCAGCCCCTTCCTTCCAATGTTAGAGAGCAATGATATTTTTCGTCTTCCTCGATTGTAAATAACAGTTACTCAGATGTGTTCCTAAAAGGCAGTGTGTAAAGTTAGTCAGGAATTTTTCACAGTTTAGTTCAGGCTAAAATATCTAAGTGTGTGGTATCGTAATTATCACTGTTTTTGTAAAGTGTTCTACAGCAATATTAAGAATAGGAAGGTAATGAAGCCTACCAACAGTGAAAATTCCTGTATAAAAACTAGCCTGAACATATTCATTTTAACTGTGAAGAATTAAAAAAAATATGTTCCATAAAATTAGAAAAATTTAGAGAGATGTAAATTAAGTTTATTATTTACTGGGCATTGTAAAATCGAGTTAGCATGGGGCCTGGGTTTGCTGGCTTTTTATCAGTCTAATATACATGCTGCAGAGTGCTCCCGTCAGAAGTATAAAGTTCCAGGGGTTTTCACAAACTGAGTAGACTCCTGGATCAACACCCGTGTCAAGCCCCTGAGGTGCCCCAAGAACCTCACCCCTCCCCCTCCCACAGGAAGCCCCCATCCTGACCACCAGCTCTTCTTGCGTTACCTGTTTTTAGACTCTGTTCTTTTTAAAACATACCGGGTCTGCTCTCTTGTGTCTGGTGTGTTTGGCTGTACATCACATCTGGTAGGTAGGTCCCCGTGAGCGTGTGACTCATTGCCATTGCTGTGGAGTGTGTGTCAGGGCGGGCCACCTCCACGGGGCAGTTACCTGCCGTGTGGATAGGCATCTGGTAGTTGTCCCCAGTTTCGAGCTATGACAAGTAGAACCTCTATGAGCATTCTGCTTCATGTGCAGTGTGTGCACGACGTGTACACGTTTTTGTTGGGGGTCTGTTTACACCCAGGAGAAGATTTGCTGAGTCATCAGGTATGCGCACATTGAGTACAGGTTTACTGCCCAACGGTCCTCAGGGTGGTCACACCTGTCAACGAGGACACCAGTGGGATCTGAGAACCCCAGTCACTCCATGTCGGGCAGGCAGGGTCATGACCCGCCACTTTGGACAGTGAATGAAGTCAAGCACCTTTCCAGCATCTGTTTACATTTTTATAATAGTTAAATAGCCTCTTCTTTGTAGTTTTGCCTGTTTTCCTGATGGATTTATCTGCCTTTGTCTTAATGTTTATAGTTTATTTTGGCTGTGAGTCCATTGTTGGTTATGTCTATTGGAGAGCTCTACTCCATGCCTTGACTTTCATTTTTGGATCAACTCCTTCCGTGAACTGGAGCTTTGAATCTTAATGTATCCACTTTGTCCTTACTTTACCTTGCAGTTAGCTCCTGCTTAAGAAATCCTTCCCTATTCCCAGGTCATGAAGGTGTTCTCCTCTGCTTTCTTCTAAAAGTATTTCAGAGATGGCTCTGTAATACCAGCTGTGTTTTCAGCATCCATTTATTGAGAAATAAATGATGACAAGAGTCAGTAGAACTTTTAAATAAATTTGCGTTGTGGTCATAACAGTGCATGCTGGCATTTGAAAGTGCTTGTAGGACTTACCAGGGGTGCTTCCTCACTTCGTAGGCACCATGCTATGTACTGGCCCCCGCCCCACAGTTTGCAGGCTGCTGGACATGCTGGAGGCTCCCGTCTGGGCACCTGAGGACCTGGGAGTTGGCAGATTGCTGCTCTGCCTCGTTAATGCCAAACATGTGGGTGTCAGTTCATCCCATGGTTTCAAAGTACCTCAGCACCAGGTGGTGTGTGGAATGGATGCTGGAACATAAAGCTAGAGAGACATGCTGCTTTCCTCCAAGAGCTTGGGGAAGGAAGAGAGAGATCACTGCTTGAACAAACACGTAATAACGGGCTTCTGGCTCCTGACTAATGTGAGCGTCCAAGGTGCTAGACAGAGTTAGGAACTGCTCCTTGTACCAGGAGCAGCCCTGGAGTTATCAGGGAGGGTGGGTGACTGGGTGAGTTAAGGTTTCTCTCGAAATTGACACTATGCTTCATGGAGCAGTAAAGTGAAACCCATTCATTCTCATGCACTGTTGGTAGGAGAATAAAGTGGTGCAGCCTCTTCAGAGAGCAATTTGGCAGCATCTGTCAAAATTTAATTGCATGTCCTTCCTGCGTTTGTGCTAGATAGACCCTGGGAATGCAGTGTCTGTGTCAGATGAACACCCACGAGTGGAACTACATGACCAACTCTTCCCAGCCGGTCCATTTATCCTACACCAAGATAGTCTTTGCATTGTTGTTAATGACATCAGAATACTGGAAACAAGCTAACTGTCTGTGAATTGGGGATCAAGGGTGGGACATCCACAGACACAGCATCACAGAGTGTATAGACGAACTCTGCTTGAGCAGTGCCCAGGATGCGTGACATGAGAGCTGTCTGCTTCTGCCTGGGTTTTAAGAACAGGGACGGGTGCGTGTGTGTTCTGTGCATGTCTCCGCACACCTGTCTCTGGAAGGTGGCCTCTGCTATAAGACAGAAGGACAGGGACGTTCTGATGCAGTTTTTTTAACATGTTAAATCTTTTTCATTAAAAAAAGTGTGTACTAAATGCCAGGTGATACTCTTCTTTGGACCCTGGGACCAAAAAAAATGACAGGATATTAGTGGGAAGACTGATGGCAGCTGAAAGTTGGGTGAATAGTGATGTTCCAGTGGAGTTCTTCATTTTTGCCAAGTCCCACAGTCATCCCATGAGGTCCCCAAACCAGGGGAGACTGGGTGAGGGGACCAGCAGTGCTGCATGTTACCTCTGCAGCTCTTCTGTACATCTAAACGTCTTCCAAAGTTAGAAGTTTATTACCTTTGTTTAATTTTAATGAGACCTGTCAAACTGCATGTGTAGAATGGTCATGTATGAGAATGAAACCTGAGAAAGTGAATGCTCACTGCCCTCCCTCCTATCCTCTCGGTTTAGGTCGAAGAATTCCATCCACTGACGCTAGCCCGCCTTCTGGCGGAAAGGGCTTCAAACTCCGCAGACAGCCTTCGGAGCCAAAGCGGAGCTGCTGCTGACCGGGCCTCGGCCCCCCGGGCTTCCCGATGAAGTAGGTGGTCCTGACAGGTCTAGGGAGGGCTAGGCCCCGCCTCCGGGGGTCGCCTGCCAGTCTTGGATCTTCTTCGGGCAACAAGGATTCACAGGAATTGACCGGTTTCGTCTCTTTGGAGACTGCAGCAATAATACGTCAGTCTGTGGACTTCCGTCCTGTAAAGAATCTCTGTGTACACAGGGACTGCATCGTTGGCTCCTGATCTTGCTGAGAAGGAATGTACAGTTGTGTGGATGGTAGGATGAGATCATTGAGTAGCTTTGTAGTCAAGATTCTATGTCACATTTGTAAAGGGAAAATTAGCACTTTCGTGGTTCTTGAGGGGAAAAAAAACGACCTTGTGGAGACATTCCTTCCCTTGGTTTCCCATTGCCACTGTTAGAGGGAGTGGTAGCATTTAGAATGTGTGCAGTTACCACCATGGAGGGATGGCAGTTATGATCATCTGAAGCTGACGTGGGTTGTTTCTGGGGCTGATGGAGAGGCACCCACCCCTGCCGTCTCTGACGCACTTTGCATTGGGCGCAGCAGCCCAGGACCCTGTCGCACGTGTGTCCCCAGGCACGTCACTGGCACCTTTTTAGGTAAGCTCTGACGATCGAAATGGTGGTGGTAGAGAGGCTGCCTGGAACATGTTGAATTGCAGATTCAGTTTAAACTGACTAGCCATGTTTTCGAAAAGAAGAGAGGAAGCCCAGAAAGTGGAGTAAATGCTGTCTGTTTTTTATTTAACCGAGCTGTCTTGGTGGGGGAAAGAGTTATCTGCCGCTTGCTTAGCACATGTAAAGTTGTAGTCATATATTTATGAGACCACTGCTTACAGATTATAAATTATGTAAATACATTAATAAATTCTATGTTTCGTTTAACACTCCATTCACTCTTGCACCCGGCCTGGCGCGTACCCCCCATTTCTCAGCCCATGAGGTTCTTTGAAGCACGTTTACATGGTGCAGAAGCATAGAGCATGTGGCTCCGGGTTGGCAAGGGTTTCTCTGCCTTCTCTCCCGCCACCCCTCCCCTGCAGTCCCATCTGGAAACCCCCGTGCAGACAGATGCCGCTTGGAGAAGCCTGACTCCTCCCTCCTCGCCTCGGGGTACAGGACCAAACTCCTGAGCCCACGTCATTTACCTGGTCTTGGAAATAAGCTGCTTCCAGCTTTCACAGCAGCCTCAGACCAACTGTTTGAAGAGCGCTTCTTCTCTTGTTAATAATTCCGCGTCTCTTTCCCTTATTTTCCCCTGCCTCTCTTAGTGGTTAACACTCTTTTCCCTCAGGGAGCCTAATGAGCTTTTTAATATAATCTAAAAATAAAGCACTGAAGTGAAGTTGGTGAAAATTTGTTCCTGGTCTAATTTGGCACCCTTCCAACCTGAGTATTGTAAGGGAAGGAAATTTACAAGATTAAATAGGAAATGAAACAGCTTGAATTTCAAACCAAATTGTGTTTTCAGAGCTATCCTTAAACTGAACAGTCAAAACTTTTAAAAATAATGGTTATTTCTTCATGCCCCCCACTTGATACGGTTAGATTTTAATGGGAAAATTATAACTCAGATTAAGTGAAAAACAATTCCCTTCCCCATGGTGTATATCTTGAGCATTTGGAATTGTTTATTCTCTTATTGAAATCATATAGAAGGAATGTAGGTAGTGAACATTCTCAAGTTGCTTTGTTTGAAGTGCGTAGGGACTGTCTCCTCCCCTGGCATCTAGCTTTCCTCCCCAGTGTGAGATTAGCAAGATTTGGACAGCGTGCGTGATTCCAGGGCCGGGCACTTCACACTTAAGAGTGGTTAGGCTTTACTTCATATACATCCAAATGGACTGGCCATCAGGCCACTGCCCTGGTTGGTCCCTGACATTCCCACCACCAGGCCTCTGTCTCCATGACAACAAAATAAAAACACTCGACTTACCAAGAGATGAGGCGTGTGTGGCCCTTTCTTATTTCACCAAAAGATGACACGGATCTGATCTATGACCTTGACATTTTTTCCACCACAGCTGTCCATCAGCGTGGCTGGTTTCATGGTATCGGGGTGCACAGGGAAGGTCGGGCAGAGTGCTTCCGTGCCTCTCTGGTGGGTGAGGCCTCCCCTCCAAGCGTCTCTCACCCCATTGTGACGTGGGCTGCACAGAGCCCAGCACAGTCCATCCTTCAGCCCCCGCATCCGCCGCCTTCTCCTGATCCTCGTGGTCCTCCTCACCTGCTCCCCACGTAGTTCGGGGGCCTCTCTTGCCCTCATTTTCCTCAGTCTGTCTCAGAAATCACTGTGGCTTTGTACCTCACATGATGTCTTCTTAATACTCAACAATAACAACAGCACCTTGCTCTCAGAATCCAGAATCCATACTCGATGAGAACAGGGGAAAAGATGTTTTCTGTCACCTTGTTTGCTTCTAAAGCACAAGGATGGATATTAACATCAGAAGCAGTGTTTTATTTTGAGCCCACTTTGGATTATTCACCTGAGTAGACGGTGATTTAATACATGTTTCATACATCCTTTATTCTTACTTTTTACCATGAGAAAAAGCTAGCTTGTGAAGGAATTGAGACACAGCCCATCTATAAAAATCTGCTTTCGGTTCTCTTATGACACAGGGCCATCTTTAAAAACTTGGGGGACTGAAAAGAGAAAAGCCATTCATTAGCTCTGAGTGTCTGTTGATTCCTCTCAGAGAAATGAAAATCAGGTCTTTGCTGGCGTCCAGTCCTAGGAACCAGTGATCTCCAGAACTCTTGTTTCACACAAGTGTTTTTCTGATTCTGTGATAACTCATTAATTATCATTTGGTGATTAAAAGAACATAAAGAGGGAGTATGATTAAGTGTCCTTCATCTTAAACTCTTCTTTAAGAAGTGATTAGGGAGAAGCACCTACTGCAGGTCCTTCTGGTTCTAAATGAAACCTCCATCACCTGCTCTTCAGCCACAGTCAGGCCCAAGTGCTACACATTGCAGCAGAAAGGTTTGGTTCCTGTAAAATAACTCACTTCCTTGTCACGCATGTATGATTTTGTGGGAAGTGCCTGCCCCCCATTGTATACACACTTCCTGGGTGCCTCCTCACATCTGAGAGGACTGGACCCTTTGTGCCGGAGGCTCCATCTCTTAAGTGGGCTGGTGTCCTTCTTGAGGCGATCAGGTTTTGTTATTTCTACATGTGTAGAAAGGGAAAGAAAACCACATTTACTTCCAAAATTTCTCTTTACATTTTTGTATTTATTTATTTTCTGTTCTCAAGAAGGAGCATAGGTCTGTGAGACCTTCTAAATTAAACGCTGACAGAGTAATGAAAACATCCTCAGATGACATTGCATGGCTTTCCTGGAGACGTCAGACCAGCGTATCCAGACTGTTACAGCATCACGTTAAAATGGACAAGTTTAATTGAGACAGCAGTACACTAATTGGCATGTCAGCCTCAGAGCTTGAAAAGGCATTTGTTCACTGTTAAATGCATCCTTCATGGTCTGAGAGTACGTTTCAAAAGAGGTTATGTAAATTCTTATAAGCATCTTTTCACTCTTTTTTTTCCCAGAACACGCTGAGAACGTGATTCATGGCCCCTTAGTATATAAGAAATAACGTGTGCAGCATGTTATATATATGACAGACGAGACCCCCATACATTCAGATGTCTCTGCAAGAACCTGTATAAGCAGTGAGGAAACTTTTCCTTTCTGGGGAAAAGTCACTGGAATTCCCTTCACTCTCATCTATACTAGGAACCCACTGTAGAACATCTGGGGGTAATGACAGCCCGCAGACTCAGGCTGCCTTCCCTCTCTCAACTCATTAAGCTACAAATGTTCTATAATGAAAGTTAAACGACAGTGATAAGCTGGAGAGTGGAAACCTGTGAAAATCCTTCCTTATTTAAATTTGTTGTAAAGGGACGAGCAGCATGACTTGTTTGTCTGCAGGAGATCGTCTCCCTCTTTAAAGTTAGTATTTTTTAAAAGAAGAAACAGGATGTACCATCAGGGGTCGAGCAGTGACCATAGACCTGCTCTCACTTACACATGGTCCATCAAAAATGTTTCAATGGTTCAGAGTAATGTTTAGGAGATGTGTACTAACTCCTATGGTGCTGTGATTAAAAAACAGTCCAAGCAACAGAATTATCCAGGAGATAACCATGATGCTGTATGGTTTTAGCAGAGGGAAGTGGGGGTAGAATTTGGCCTTGGACTGAAAGAAATGACCCCTGCCCATTTCTCTTGACAACAAGGTTACTTGTCTCAACTTCCAGTAATAGAAATCCAGGCAATGTGATCATCCGATTTGGAGGAAACATTAGTGAAATTCTGGGACATTTGTCCTGTTTTATGTGCAAATGAAAGTTCAAAAAAAAATTAAGAAGGTGTTACATTTTTCAGGAGCCTCCACTTTTTCAGTCCAAGAGAATGATATGTGAGTGACCTGTTATGATGAAGTTTCATTAGACATAATGAAGAAAGGGAATGAATAGAACCAAGAATCTCCTTATTTCTTTTTGTCCTTCAGGATTCTCATAGCATATAAGGAAAATGATTTACCCTCCAAATCTAGAAGGACTTCCAGAGTCATAGATCAACTTTAATTTTCGGTCTGTACCATCAGAAATAATTCATGTCTGTGTTCTTTCTTCTTAGAGCATAATTAATTCCAGATAGGTTTGAATATGTGTGGCTTCCAAACAAAAGGATTCAGAAGTTTAATAAAAAGAAAAGTCTTGAATCTTCCATCTTTTCCGTTTATTACCTTCAACATTTTAGGTAGATAGTAAGATTAGGATCTATCATCAGTAGATACTAGAGTTAAAACCATGGAGTCTTAACAAATTTATCTGAATTTTTTATTTTAATTCATTGCCACTTCATTTTCAGATCAGTGTGGATGGTCCTGGAGTCCAGTGCCTCATCAAAATGCTTCATAATGGAAACAAATAAAATTCTGGGTAGCTTTCCATGAGCGGGAATTCAAGTGCCAAGAATTCAGCTAATTAATGGAAAATCCTCAGATAGTACTGATTGCTTTTTGAAAGCGCCTTCTCTAAATTGGCAGTTTTAAAGTGTAGACCTTAATCATCTTGTTAATCCTGCAAAAGAAACAAAACACACTGGTTTGATGCAACTTTTTGATTTGGGGAACTTCGTGTTTCCGGAAGCGAATGGTTTAATGCAATACTGAAGAAGAAATCCATCTTTAAAACAGCATTTCACACACAGAGCCAGTAATCTTCACTCAGAATTAAAATTGTTCAGGAAGCACCCACCTTTCAGGTCACGGAGAAAAGCCCACCACCCCTTCTTCCACGAGGTAAGGCCAGAGCCCACACTGAGCACCCAGCTGCCGTGGGGCAGGCCAGGGCTACAGGGAACACGCCACCCCCCCCCCACTTCAGAAATAGTCAGCAGCCCATTATTTCACGTTGGAGCTTAACACTTAATTAATCGTTACTGATTTTTTCATGAAATTTATACTTGAATTGTCAGTTTGACACCCACCCCCCCACTGGAAAAACCTTGAAAGCAGGGCTTAAATTTGTATACCTCCGCTTACTTTGCCCATGAGGTTATTACACAGTTTAGGACACTTTTTCTTAATATGGATTATGCATGTAAAGTCAATCCAGCATGGGGAGAGTTACCAGCATCTGGTTGGTCAGAGCCACCGATGAGTGCCGCTGTTTTTAAACCATTTGTTGTGTGTGTAGATAGAGTTTTATGGCCCTGGGAAAGATTTCCTTCTTTCACTCTCCTCCAGCAGCTGAGTCTCTCCATCATCCCACATTACGAGTCACCCACACAATGGTCCATCACGCCTCTGACCTTCTTAAGAGTTGACGTCTTGACTTCCTTGTGATCGAGGCCGTGATTCTTGCCTTATTTCTCCCCTTTTTGCTGCCGGCTCTCCCTTAAAGACGCAGGGCACCCGCCACCGCCTCAGTGTGTGCGACGTGCCTTCCTGTACTGCCTTACCTGGTCACAGCAACGAGATTTGCCCACCTTGTCCCACGAGGTGGGAAAAGCAAGAGGCAACCAGTGATGTCAGACAATACACAGGCTAATTTAGGGGGAGAAGTCTAGTATATCCAGAGAGGAGATGGGCAGTACTGGTTTACAGTGGCAGTGTGACCACGTCACAAAATGTTTTCAACCACTGGCAACGAGGCAGGTTAAGTGTCAGAACTTTGACTTAGTTTGTACTAGAACATTTGTTAAACTTTGGAAAACCCTAAGTAAAGTCTTGAAAGGAGATACAGAGATAGATGAGCCTAGACATTTAAAAAAATAAAGCTAAGCCGTTGTACCAGCAATTCTTATTTCTCCTAAGAATGTCATGCCTTTTCAAGACCTGATGCAAGGAGTAAGATATTTGTGCCTTTTTCTAATAGTGTCTATTATGGGAAAAAAAAAATCAAGTTGCTTACAGTTTAGACCGCCTTGTTGCACTATAAGCAGCCCAGATTCATAGCCATGGCTCCCCTGCATGATGCATTGCTTGACTACCTGTGATGAAATATTGTAATGATGGTTTGCCAAGCTTGTATGAATGTTTGAAGACTTTATTTTTGCAGTCATAACCTTGGGCTGGACCTAAGTCTATATATAAACCATATGGTGTCTGTATTGTTTGTAGATGCTGACGAAAGAAAACTTGATCTTTTGATTTTTGTTGTAAGATTTTTCTTTTTATGTTTAGGCTGGTAGTAGATCATTTGCAAATGGTGGTTGATTTGGCATACTTCTAAATTGTATTGTTTCAGCTTGGATGTTCTATACTTAACTTTTATAGAGTATAACATGCTAAGTCACTACAAAATTTGTTGTATTGTAAGGCGAGTGTAAACATTTTGTTAATAAAGTGCTATGTTTACAGATAACATACTTGCCCTTCAGCTGGTTTCTCTTTATGATAGTCTTCATCACACATTTTTCTCCCCCCACCCCCCGCTTTTTTTTTGGCTGTGTCTTGGGGCATGTGTGATTTTAGTTCCCCAGCCAGGGATCGAACCCACTTTGGAAGCATGGAGTCAACCACCGAACCACCAGGGAAGTCCTTCATCACGTGTTTTTCTTAACTAGATCTCCTGAAGTCATTTTAAAATGATTTTTGAAAACTGAAATGCCAGAACTTTGGTAGCTGTGGTGTCTGGTGAGCAGCACGGTATTTGTATCCATCAACCCAGCTCCCAGCATCTCTCCCTTAGTCACCTCCTCCTTCCTGTCC